GCTGATCTCTTCTCCCTGGGATCCAGTGACAGGACACGTGGGAATGGTTCAGAGCTGCGCCAGGGGAGGTTTAGACTGGACATTAGGAGGCATTTCTTTACCAAGAGAGTGGTCAAACCCTGGAACAGGCTTCCTGGAGAGGTGGTCAATGCCCCAAGCCTGTCAGTGTTTAAGAGGCATTTGGACAATGCCCTTAACAACATGCTTTGACTTTTGGTCAGCCCTGAAGTGGTCTGGATGGACTGGATGATGCAACTGAAGTTGGACTGGATGATCGTTGTAGGTCCCCTCCAGCTCCAATATTCTACTCTACTCTTTCCATCTCTGACTTTGCACCCTTTGTTCTCTTCCCTTCCTTACACAGCATTTATATTTCCTGTGCTACCACTAGTGCTGTGCCTGCTTTCCACGTGTTCACCTGCTGTGTGGAGTTTTAGAGCAGTAAAGGGGCTTCAAATCCGTGTAGTAGCTATGAAGTCAGTGCCTCTTACCAGGACAGTGCCATGAAGAAAGCCATGTTACTAGGTGCACTTTTCCCACATGCAACCTTCTTTGCCAGCTCCATTTCCTGCTCTATGATGCATCACATGGTTCTTACACGTGGGCTCAAAATAAAAACAGGAGACCTGCAGATTTCTTATCATACTGTAGAAACGTCAGTTTTTCTCAATGTTTTGGTATCTCACTGGGAAAAAAAAAATGTTCTTTGTTGGAGACTTGAGTTAATTAGGATTTGCATTTGGAGTTGATAAACATGAGTCCTATTGAAGTTAATAAAAATTTTCCTGATTTTGGAATCAGAAAATCTTCTGTATCTGGGTCACACAGCACAAACAGATCATTGTGGACATATTATGCAGTATGACAAGGTATGTGTTTCTGACCTGCTTGGGCTAGCAGTTGCAACTTGCTGCCTGACTAGCTTCTATCAAGTTTGAATTTACCATATTCATAGATCTGAAAAGCAATTTTGGAAAATTATTCATGTATTCATATAAGGGAAGAAGACCCTTCAGACCTGATATTAAACAAATCCTTTGAAATTAAAGGACTATAGGCAAAAAAGAAAAGGCGGGAGAACTAGGAAGTGAAAGGGTTTGGAAAAAAAGTGAGAAGGGAAACTAACAAAGATTAACATCTAATACAAGCTATCTATATCTATTCATATTGTATTCTGCTTGTTCTAAGCTACCCACTGAGCCCAGAGTGAATTGCCTCACACTTGCACATCTTTTCTTCTCTACTCTCAACTGTTTTTTGACTGCATTGCAGACATTGCAAATAATCTTAATTGGGAATATTTATATGAATACAGACTGCTGGACTCTACTCAAGATTCCTAGAATGAGTTTATTAATAAATGAATGAATCATAGAATAGAAGAGGGAACATGCTCATTTAAGCAACTGCATTGCCAGGGATGGACAGCAATATTTAATTTCTGGGCTTATATTAGAAATTAGGATCAGCCAGGATCAGAGAAATGCTTGGGGTTTTGGGGGGGGGTTTTTTTGTTCGTTTGTTTGTTTAAATAGAAGTCTATGATCTGACATTTATTTTAGTATTTTAAAGTAATAAAGGAAGATAAATACTATAAGAATTTGATGTATTCTGCATAGGGGACAAGAGTATTATATATGCATTACTGATTAGGTTTTTTTGTGAGACCTTGCCTGCTGGCTCATTTGATAGCTTCCTTTTTTTAGTTTCATTTGCTTTGTGTTGGGCAAGTCACATAAATTTTTTCCCAAAATTGTTTCTTTTCTCTTCACTGATATTCCCTGCCATCCATTGTTTTGTTTACGTATTTCTGCACTCCCTGGGAGTCGGATTTTCTGTTTGTGTTTGTGCAGCAACTTGTGCAGTACATACGTGATGATCCAGTTGTGGCCTCTATGTTCCATTATGCTGCTATCATCACATGCTTTCTTTTAACATAAAATCATAGTTGTCTTATGGAGATTTTAGGCCAATAAATAAATTGTTTGGAGAGCACGTCAATGCCAAGATGGAAAAAAGTTGTGGAGATGTATAATATTTGTGTGCATTATTTTGTTGCAAGCATCAGTTTTGGTACTGAAAGTAGATAAGGTGTGTAATTAATTGATTTTCTCTGTGTGTTGCCCGTTACTTTAAAGAATCATCTAGAAATTAATTTTCCTGAGTTTTCATATCAAGTCTCTGACGTGGAGTTATATATTACCAGTTTAATTCTATGCTTCCATTTTTTGTTCTTTAATTAAAGTCATAATGACAAAAGTTACAGCTTTAATTCATCTGGTGTATTGTTATAATAGTGTCACTACCAAAGTAATGCGGAAAAGTGTCCTCTCTTTCACGACAGCAGTTTTTTCCTAATACTACAGATCGGTGTGAAATGAATATTTAATTTCATTTTCTGTAACCGATAATATCTTTGTCCTAATCTGAACGAAGGTATTTTGCTTTTGTGAACTGTTAAAGTGTTAACCCCTTGATAGGGAAACTATTTCAGTTTTGTATAGAGACAGAGTATTGAGCATCTGCTATAATGGTGAAGACTTAAAATACATTGAGAGCAAAAAGAGGAAATTGTAGAGGGATGTGTCAGTGAAAGAGTGTCAGTGAAAGACCCTAGTGACTGAGTGTAGTTACATTTTGTTTTATCAAAATAAAAAATGTATTTCTATTCATGTGGTAGAATAGCATATGGTAGGTTTCCATTACTGTAAAACTGAATGCTCTTTCTAATCACCTTCTTCATAAAAGACTATGTGCAATGAGAATTTGGCTTATAACCAGCTTATGAGAGTATATTGGAAGCATTTGAACATGATGGCTAAGACTCATCATTTGCCGTGATAATGTGGAGACAGCCATCTGGTGGCATAGTTCCTAAAGTGGCATAACGCCCTTCCCTAGATACTAGATTTGTTAAGAGTGAGTTCTGGTCACCTAATGCAACAATTTATCACATGCAGATTATTTCTGTTCTGCTAGCAATAGGGGGGGGGGAGGAGAGAAATACTTATTTGCATAATTACAAGCAACTGAGATCTGACATTTGACCAAATGACTTTCATAAGAAGAAGAAGTAAAAGCTGTTTAATCTAGTGTGGAAAATCGGATGCTTATAGTTTCGTCATGCTTAGTTTTTTACCTGTAATGCTGCATAGTCAGACAGTAAACATTGTGCTAAATTCATGCTATGCATCATTTTGTACATAGTCAGAAAACTTAGATTTACATTTTTGTATGTTAACGTAAACAGTAGAAACTCTCAAAAGGAAAGATAGTTGGGTGAAGATGACATTACATTGTTAACTCTTCCTGGTTTGCTTTGATAATGTGCCAAAAAACTTAATGATGTTTGTTTGAAACTTGAGAAAACTAGAACAGCTGCCTTAGAGAAGATACATTTTTTAAAAGTTATTGAAGTATGCCACTACTATGTATGTTAAATATTAAGATCTCAGTGTTGTTTATAAGCACGTAAAAAAAAATCCCAGCACTTACTGCAAGAGTATGGTGCACTATGGTTTCGCATTGTGTCCTGAAGGGCAGCACACCAGGGCTTTGTAAGACAACAGGGAACTGACGTTTCAAGCTGAAGCTTGTCAGAGACCTATCTTGTAGATTTTTGGACTATACATACAATTTACATTTGAAACTGCAGTGACATGTAATGGAGTAGACATTAAAACTAGTCTCTAAGGAACTCTATGATTTGAAATAAAAGAGTATTTACAGGGAAAAAGCATTAGTTCCACATTATTTAAAATATGTGCTAGGCTTTGTTTTTGGTGGGCCTAAAGCAGAACATAAGTCATAGACACCCTCAGACTGGAAAAAAATTTCACTTGTAAACTATGACTAGTTTTCATTGGTGCTGCTGAACTTCAATTTCAGCCAGAATCATGACTGTGGGAATGATTCTGCACAGGCTGAAGCATCCCCTGGGTTTGCTGTATTTTTTGTGGCCAGGGGAAAAAATGGGGTGGGGTTGGTCAAACTTAGTATGTTGTTATTCCTTGAAAAAACTTTCCCTTCTCTGATGTACATGCCACTTCTAGAATGGCTTTTGTTAGCAAAGCAAGCACAGGTTCTCACCTGGTAGATAAGTTATTATTTACTTGGCAATTTTTGTTCTCCCTGTTAACATTTGGCTATCTCCTTAACATCTAGCTCCTGAGAGATGAAACCAATACTTCTTATGTCGACCTAATTGCGGAAATGACGCTGTATCCGAGACTAATGCAAATAATTGTCTGTTCCTGTTCTTTCTTTCTAACTGGTCTGTGGTAGTGGTTCCCCAGGGATAGAGGTGTAGAGGGAGGGAAAGATGGGAACAGCATTCCTGCAACTTCACATCCACCAAAGGGACGCATACGGGCAGGGAAGCAGAATTGCTATACCTTCCCAGATATATGAGTTGTTCTAGACTCCTCCCATTACCATTATCCAAAATTGCCCTTTAAGAATTGTGAGAGTTCAACCACTTCCCCCCCCGCCCCTTTTTTCATGTTGGACACCCTTAAAGGAAAGGTTTCCTTAAAGGAAACCCTTTTAAATTACAGTTATGTGGCTTGATTGAGATGGGGTCAAATTAAATGGGTCCTTACTGCCTTGAAAAAGAACTTACATGAAAATAACTCAAGGATTTATTTGTGTTTCCTTATAGGTGGCATTAAGTGTCCTGTCTGCAGCTTTGTGTACGGTACAAAATGGGAGTTCAACAGACATCTTAAAAACAAGCATGGAATGAAGCTAGTGGAACATGATGGGGAGACCAAGTGGGAGGTAAAGCAAAGTTGCCATGGCTTTGGCCCTAAGATTTTAAAAAATTCTAAGGAGAAAAGTAAGGATAAGAATAAGAAGTATTCAAAAATGTGTTCTTGACTTTATACAAGATCAGGAGATCATGTGATCTCATCTCCATTTTGAATGCATACATTGCTATGACTGTTAAGCTTGACTGCTTTAATATCTGGTAGGATTAACAACATTGTAAGTGCTTATTTCTGCATTTTAGGGCTCTAGTCCTCTATTTGCAGCAGAAAGGGTGAACGTTTTAGCAAAAAAATGTGAAATTGAAAAACTTACTTCATTTTGTTATATGATAAATGTTCACTGGTGTTAACTGCAAGATCCTCAAAGCTGCAAACTTATGTTGAATTAATGAAGGAAGCTTATGTCTTGGTCCAGAAAAGGTTAGAATCTAGAAAACTGAATTTGTGAATTGATCAGCTAAAAAAATGGTACTGTTGTAGAGTAAGTCTTCTGTATTTTTTTCTGTGTTTCCAGCTTCATTCCAAAGTATAAGGAAATCACAGTATCACTAAGATCACACCTTAAAAAATTTAAGTTAGACCTAAGAAGCTGGGTTAGAAAAAAACCAAACCAACAACCTGAATTTTCTCAGTTTGGGGTGGGGTAGGGCAGCTACCTTGAGAGGGCTTACCCTTTCAAGCTTTCCTTTGCTGTCATATGCGTAACTATTTGTTTTAAAATGAAAACTGTTACTCTTATAGAGCAGAGCTGACTGTAGATTCAGAAGCTATGGGAAAACCACAGAGCTATCTAGACACTTTTATTTTAAAAATTACAGTTGGCAAGCTGAGTCTTTTCCACTGCCTGAGTAGGGTATTGTTGGTGTCCAATGAGAGGAAAAAGCCAGAAGTCAACTGCAGTTGGCTGACCTCCACAGTTTAAAACCTGTTCTGCTAAATTTCAGGCAGTCTAGCCCCCGTTATAAATCTAATGCCTGATTTGGAAGAGCCGTCCTGCAGTTCTTGTTTAACAGTTTTTGAGTATCCACAGATAGAATGTTAAGTCCTTGAAAAATACCAGAGTAAGTTCTATATGGACAGTTATTCAAAGAAGACAGGGCAAGCATTTTAAAATGTAGTCCTTCAAAGTCTTGTATCCACATGAATTTCACAAATGATTCTCTGTACACTCTCCCAGTAGATGCCCAAACCTGAAAAAATAAGAGGACATTGAGGATGCAAGCGTGTCTCTGCTGCTGAAACGGCTATAAATAAAAAAGTCCCATCAGAGCAGGAATACATATTGACAGCTTGTCTTGAAAAAACTTCGCTATGGAAAGGATAATTTTTCTAAAACAAAATGCCATTTTCAAACTTCAGAGGCATTTTACCAGATCTGCAAGGACATGCATTGTAAACTAATTTTGCCCAAAAGGTCTTTACTAGACCCTGATACAATAGAAGTCTGTTGTTAGGTGTAACAAAAATGAAGTCAAGATAGTTTAGCATGCTTAAAACAACTCCTGAAGTAGAATCTAGAAGAAAACTATGGGATGATACCCCGACTCCCACGTAATACTCTTCTTGATTCTGTTTCACCCAGTATTTCTGTAACTCTTGTTACAATATTTGTTGTCCAAAACTCATTCCTTTAAACTTAGAATTTTCATTGTTCTCTAAATTGCTAAAATGAGAGGGAGATTATTCATGCCTTGTCTGGGTTTTGTTTTCAAGTTAACTGCTGAAGTTTCTGAAGAAGCATCCACTCAGTATCTCCAGATCACAGAGGCTGGAGAAGATGTTCAAGGCACTCAAGCTGCTGTAGCTGCATTACAGAACCTTAGATATACTTCTGAGAATGGTAAGTTACCTTTTTTAGGTTGGAACACAAAATGTATCTTTTTTCATAAATACCTAATTCTTTTGAGTATACTGGGCAATATATGATCTCCTGTGAAACTATTAAAAATTACGAAATTTGTCATCCAGAACTTACTTTTGGGGGGTTATATTTTTCTTTGAGGATAAAAAATGAGAAATGACCATTCTTTATGAATTTCTATATCCTTAAGTCATTAATACTTATCACACTCTGGTTTGCACTTTATTATTCGGTGTGTGGAATTTCCTGCCTGTGTTATTAAATATATTGTGAAATCAGCTATCTTGGCAGTGTAGATGGTGTGTATCTAATGGCAATTCTCTAGCTATTATTTTTCTTCCTGCTTAAGTCAGCCAGACTGCAGAAGTGACACAGTGGAATAGCTCATTTACCGTGTTCCCAGGACAGTGCTAACAAACTTAGTTCTGATGGTACACAAAACTAAGTAAGCTATTCTGTATCAGATTGAGGAAGAACAAGAGTGGGATTAGATAATGATTGCTAAGTGGGAAATAACAAAAACTGGAAGAAAAGAAAAAATGTCCAGGTTTCTGAGAGTGTTAAAACATCAGAGACTAGGGTAGGTGTTCATATGTTTTTTTATATATATAAATAAATGCGTTGGTTATCAGAAGATAGCGTTTTACAATTGTTTACCATTGTGGTCTTTATAGTTCATAATACAGATACATTTCAAAACCTGCCATTTTTAATGTAATTTCCAAGCTTGTTGCAATTAAATTATGTTACTGACAATTTCTGTATATTATTTTATTTTAATGACTGGGAATTCTGAATGAGTAAAAACCTCTTGAGAACTTTTCTTAAGCTTTTATACATTTAAATTAAAATAAACATGATCATGGAATATGCTGTACATAACAGTTTTGATTTTAAGTGTGAGGCTGTAGTTTTCACAGTAGAGTGATTTGCTTTGTAGTGCATCCAACTTCAGATACTCTTCTAGCATATTCCCTCTAGGTATGAAAAACAGTAGCATCTTGTCTAAAGGCAGTTATATAGAAAAAAACCTAAAGCAAGCAAACATTTTTCAGTACCCAGCTAAACTTGTTTCTTACGTAGATAACAAAATATAACTACTTTCTGTTTGAAATGAAATTATCTGACCTAGATCCCCATCACAGTATCGACCTCAGTTTGAAAGGGTTTGGGGTTAAGAGATGAGCTTTATTCTATTTACTGTCTCTTTCCTAGTTCCAACAGTGATTACAGCAAATACAAGGCAGCTTTAACATGACCCTGACAGTTTCTTTCCCTTTCTGACATATCCCTCATGCTGACACTGGGCATGTGGGAATGGTGGGCTACAGGAGGGGAATTCATATTCCTGCATAACAAAAAACATTTTTCAACATGCAAATCTTTTTTTTTCCACACTTTGGGAGAAGTGAGACTACAACTATGTGGGGGTTTTTTTGTAAACTTGCCTTTCCTTTGGCAGGGCTACACACATCAAGAGGATTTAAAAAAAAAGGGCAAACATGTTCTGATCCCATGCTTATAAAATGATAAGCATGAGCTCTTTCAAGCAATTAACTTTTCCCTTTAGCACGTTAGTGATAACAGTACTTCTTTTAGGTTGAAGGGTATTGCAGATGGCTGGACAGATCATAAACACAGGTTTGTAATATACCAAATAGCTGTTGTGGTTATAGGTATAGAGTTCAGGTTCTGTTTAAGCTGAATGTCTGGCAAATACACATATGGATTTGTAAAGTCTGCAGCTTCCTAATTTACAGTTACTGCTATGAGTTGTACCTGTTGTTTGTTTATTCAATGTATTCTTTTAGATCTCTTTCAAATAGGCATAAAAATGATCAGTGTGGCTTCACTTGCTGATTCATGCATTCCTTGGGCAAATTTGTTTTGTGAATCCTTTCCTGCCATAGATCTATTATTAAAGTGTCATGTTATTGAGCTATTTGAAATTTATAAACAGCGCTGTGAGTCAGGGTTAAGGCAGGGGGGAAAGAGTGCCCGTAGCACTTAGATTCACATACCCTTAGAGTTGTTTTACTGTAATGATCTTATGGTTACTGTCTTTCTGATAAGGTGAAAGACTTGATCCAACAGCTGTAAACATCCTGCAGCAAATCATTGAGTTGGGTTCGGAAACCCATGATGCCACTGCAGTTGCTTCTGTAGTTACCATGGCACCTGGCACTGTGACAGTGGTAAAGCAGGTAAGAGCTCTTTTCTTCTCTAAAACAGCTATATTTAATTTTCATATATTTATTGTGAAATTAGTATTATTTTGCAAGAGCTAAATTTTGAATGACTGTGCAAGACACATACAGAATTTTTCCTAATGTTTTACTACATATTGTGTGTATGTGTGTTTATATGCCCACACACATACATGTTTATACATATATACACATAGATGTTTATACATATAAAAATGCATACATTTTTGCATGTATATAAAATATGAGTGAACAAATGCACATATATATGTACGTGTGTGTGTGTGAAAATACAGCTTTTTTCTAGTAGGTGTTTTCAGGCTTTTTAAAATAACACACCTGCATCGTGCATCGGCGCTTAGTTCCATTGTCATCTAAAAGAATCAGGAGGTCTTTGGCACAACATTCATCCGGATACAGAAGAGCATGAAAGGGCATGAAAGGGCATTGCTATTGCAGAACTGTGCATGCTCTGCAACCGTAGTGCTGTAGGACCGTACCCAAAGATGAGCCATTGTCGTTAGTCTGTACAGTGCTGTCCCGTGGCTGAAGTTTGACAGACTTGTGGCGTCCTGAAGTCATGTACCCTGGGACAAGTGAGACTACTCCTCAGTCTGAGTTCACGCTGCCTTTCTAGTGAGGGCTGTAACACAAGTGATCTGCAGGCGCAGAACAGCTCCGAGAAGAATATTGCAGGAGCTCCTTACAGCAGTTGCTTATGTGAGACAAAAGTCAGTGTGGCCACCCACATTTGAGATAAATAAAGAAAAATTCAATTGACTTGTAGTTGGTTGAAAAGATCTGTAATTAATTTTGTTGTTACCAGGGAAATTGTGCAAGACTAGAAGATACAGATCAATATTAAAAAAAAAAAAGTGTAAGATTGATTGTTAATTTCAGGCTTTTGCATGAGTTCTCTTTCCAGAAAAATCATAGAATCATAGAATCATAGAATCATTGAGGTTGGAAAAGACCTCTAAGATCATCGAGTCCAACCGTCAACCCAACACCA